TCTCAACCTTTATAAACTCAAGGCAGCCCTTGTAAAATGCCAGCTTAATTTTCACTTGTTTTTTGACTACAGAAAAACAATAGATCCGTGCTGCAGTTGCAAAGAGCTCGGATAACAACATTTCAGGATGTTTCTGCCCCTTGGATTCCTTTCTGAAACCCCTACGCTTATCTTATGAATTGCATTTGCACACCCAGCAGTTAACATTGTGTGGCATCCTGCAGCACCATTGAAAAAGTCTCCAGGATCTTATGCTGCGTAGGCCACAGCACACTTCTATAACCATCTCCTGGAAGGACTGAGGCCAACAGAAGGTCCCGTGTATTTGTGACGGTGTGCTACCACCTGCCGGACAGAGAGAACGCTGCTATCCACCAGCCAAACAGCTAAATCCCCTGTTGTGTATGAGCCTGCATGCTGCGTGCTGCCGCCTGGTGGAAAAAGGAGCGGTGTAAATCAACCCCCAGAATTCCTGCTCCCCACAACTCCTTCCTAAGGGGTGTCATGGTGTGTGTGTGTGGTTCAAGTATGTGTGATGATCTTTGGAAAAGGGACAGAGCCTTGTTTTCTGTGTGGGCGAGTGAATATTTGTCCTCTGACCTGCTTTGGAAATGATTTAATCCTCCTGATTGCATGTGCCCTGCACACCCTGCATGTGGGTGTGTAGAAGAGAGGTGTTCCTGCAGTTCCCTGATGGAAAGACCAAACCCTGCTTTGTGTATATATCCATGTTACTGTGTGCGCTGCTTCGCACTGAAGCAAGATGCAGGTGTGAGCCTGTGTGTAGCATTGTGTGCTGCCTTGGTCTAGGAAGGATGGCCTCCCTGTCCATATGGCCATACTTGTCCATATGACCTTGTGCTTGTGCATATGGGGGAGTATTACTATGGAGTATCGCTCCCTGCTGAAGTAAAGGAGCAACCTGGGTGTTGCTGTTTGGTGCTTCTTGTTAGAGTGCTTGAGCTTTCTCTGTTAGGATGCATGCAGGACATGCATCCTGCTTTCTCTGTTAGGATGCATGTCCACCACCATCCCATGCTGAGAAACTGAGCCTTGGGGGCGGTGTTCAAGGTATTGTGTGCTGCACCTGCAGAAATGAGCAGTGGGCATCCCTCCTGTGGGCTGCTCTGGTCTGGACAGATTGAACACTGCTCTGTGCATATATGGATGTAGGTGTGAGTGTTACTATCTGTTGCTCCTTGTTGGTTTGAAGGAGATACTTGCAAATGTGTGATGCGATGGGTGCTGCCTCTTGCTAGGAGAGCAAGAACACTGATTAGGCTTTGCTTGGCAGCTGACAGACCCCCAGCGTTAAGTTGTAAGAGTCAGAGTGCAGGCCCAATGGCATGAAAACCATAGGATTGTGCCACGTCTGGGTGGTCAGTGGCAGGAACACTGAGATTCCCCAAAAAGTTCTCAGAATTTGGTTTGCTAGGGGAATCATTAGTTTACCTGGTGTGGACCAGGTACTGACGGTTGGCACAACATGAACGCTGATCCACTGCCAACTGCAAGAAGGAATACACCCTGCTCTCTTCATGTGCTGCTATCCAATTGAGGAAGCGGGCGCTGCTCCATTTTGCTTGTCAGCATATGCTTATATGTGCTATTTGCTGCTCCTAGCTAGAGTGAGGGGTTGTATGAACTTTCCTTCCATACACCCTTACTGCTGTATCCTGCTGTTTGTGTATATGTGCACTAGTGGGAGTGTGTGTGTATTACTATGTGCTACTTCATGCCAGAGTGGTATGTGGCTAGGTATGTCACCAAGTCCTTCTCCAGTCTGGAGGGGTTGAGCCCTACTTTGTGTGTTAGTGGCCATGTTGCTATGTTTGCTGCCTCTTGCCCTGATTTCTGTGTCTGTCCTGTATTTGTGCATGTGTGTGTGTGTCTGTTTGTTGCCATACAGCTGTTTCCTTCCAGAGAGAAAGCGCTCTGCCGTGTGTGTGTGTATATATTTCTGTGCACTATAAATTTGTGTGCATCTATTTCTGTGCCACCTGCTAGAGTGAGGTATGGGCATTTTATAATGTGCTGGAGCAAGAGCAAGTGTATGGTCTTACACGTGCAGTTCCTTGCTAGAGGGAAGTGAATAGGCAATGCATAGGCACATCCCTACTCCTCCCAAGCACACACATTAGAGCAGTGTCTCTGGTGGGGCATCCCACAGCAGCATCCAGATATACACAGAGAAAGACACAAAGAAACCAGGCAATGTCGCTCCAACAGAGGACACACAATGCCCACACAGCAGAGCTCAGTCCCTCATTCATGGGACACTCTCTCTCCCTCTCACACACACATGTGCACGCACACACACGATACTGGTCTTTCCAGAAGGGAGCAGTTAGGCAGGTGCATAGGCAATAGGGTTCAGTACCTCAAGTGCTAGACTATGGGGACCCAGACAGTCACAAGAAAAAGCTAAGTTCAGACATTGGAGCAGGAGTCAGCAAACAGCACCCCTCTTCTTGCTAACAGGTCTGCACCCTGCACTCTCGGAGCATGTGTGTGTCCCAGGGTCCCACCCTGATGGCAGTGTGTATCCAATTGCCCCCTGCTGAAAGGAGAAAGGTGGTGGGGGTGTGCACACATATGCTGTCCTTGTGAAAGTGAGATGTGGGTGTCCTGCTGTGCGCTATCTTGGTTTGGAGACACTGAGCCCTCCTGTGTAAGGAAGTAAGGGAGGTCCATGCACAAACTCACATAAAATCTTGTGTGCTGGTCCCTAAAAGGCTGAGGGGGAAACAGGTTATCCTTTGGGGGGCTGTAATCATGTGCTACATCTTACTAGAGGATGAACCCCGTCATCTGTGTCTGTATGCATGCATGTCTCTGTGTGATATACACACAGAGACACATGCTGACAGGTAGGAGGGATGATCCATACTTTATATGTTTTTGTGCTTGTACATACTCATGCACATGTTGCATGTTGCTACCTGGTAGAATAGTGATTCTCAGTCAAGGTACTGTGGCATCCTGGAATGCTTTGGGAGCCTTTCAAGGGTGCCGAGGCATGCCATACAACAGCAGCACTGTTAGGTGTGCAAACATGATTCACAAGATAAACCCACTGATTTCAAATAGGAATCCAAGCGCCAAAAATATTCTGACCTGCTGCAATCTCTCTGAAGCAGAACTGCTCTATTATTTTTCTTTGGTCAAAGAACTGAGTGAAAACTAAGAGCTGGCATTTTCTAAGGGGTGCCTTGAGTCTAAAAAGGTTGAGAACCACTCTAGTATGAGGCAGCTGCATACAAGGTATCTGCATATGCATGCACACGTGAACACGTTTGTATTTATTCTTGCATGCTGTCCCCTGCTTGAAAGATTGACTGCATTGGGTATGTTGCTCCCCACTGAAATAATGGATGAGTTTATGCATCAGTGTATGTGCATGCACATGTGTGTGTTGCGACATGCTGACTTCTGCTGGTGGCAATGAGACCCACTCTGTGCATCGGTGTGTGCATGCACACAGGCATGCAAATCTTGTGCACTGCTCCCTGCTGGAGTGAGAGGACTGTGTGCAGGTGTGTCGCAATGTGGATGGGATGAGACTTGCTGCGTGTGTGGGTTTTTTGCTTGCAGGTGCACAGGCACATGATATGTCCTGCCAACAAGTGGAGTGAATGGGCTGTCTCTTCAATCCCCAAAGAGCCTAGGCCTCCTCTGTGTTGGTGTGTTTGCTGTTACTGCATACCACCCCTACCAAAATAAAGGGTGCTACATATATGTTATCTGGATGTTACCAGGGAGCCTGGTTTTCTCTGATTAAAAAAAAAAAATCCCTAATTTTTGGATGTAAAAAAGTAACACAAAATCCACATTTTTCCATGATTAAAATGAAAAAGGGGGATTGTTGTTATCAGAGAAAACCAGGATCCCTGGATAGTACTGTCTTCTCCCTGATGGAGTGAGGTTTCCCCGTGACTAAAGGTGTTTTCAGTGTGCATTGCAGAGTTGATGGCACCAACAACCGATGCACAGGCAGCCATCTGGGCACAAGCTCTCCTCTTCATTATTATCTCATAATGCTGTTGCTTACAAATGGCAATGTACCGGTCATATGCCATGATGGTGAGGAATGCAAGATCGGCTGCACAACAGAGGAAGAAGAGAAAGACCTGGGCCACACATCCAGCATGTGAAATTGTCCTGGTGTTTAAGAGAGAATTGGCCATGGACTTGGGGACTATGACAGAGATGAAGCCAAGGTCAAGGATGGACAAATTTGCCAAAAAACAGTACATGGGGCTGTGGAGATGGTGGTCCGTAGTTACAACAGTGATGACAAGGAGGTTCCCCACCAGAGCTGCCAGGTACGCTGCCAGAAAGATGATAAAGTGCAAGATCTGCAGCTCCCGAGTGTCCGAGAAGCCCAGGAGGAGTAATTCAGTTACAGTGGTGCAGTTGGACATCTTCCTTCCCAGGGCGCTGTGCAAGTCCTGGGTATAATATAACAAGGGCAGTGGTAAGGAGGAGAGTAACAAACTCAGTGGCTTTGATATTCCCATTGATAATGTCTCCAAATTTCATGCTAAGAATAGAAAAATTCCGTTTTTCTTCCCATGAAATATTTGATTTTAATAAATGATTTTTCCCTAGCAAGACCCTACATAAAATAAAATATTCTGATATTCCTTTAGAAAGTGAAGAAAATGTTACCCCAGCCACACCTCAGGAGTTTTTTCCTGTGCTTTAAATCTGAATTTTCTCAATAGATCTCACCTAGAAAATGTATGCTGGAAACAAATATGTATGAAATAAAAGATATTATATAAAAAAGATGCATTCCTTAGAGGTCCCAATCCCACCCCTCTCCTCTTCCCTCCCTACTTCCAATATGCTATATAACATTGTCTGCATTCATAGCAAAAACATTGAAAATGTCTTGGTTCACTCGTGTAGCTTTGAATCTATTATACAGAAAATGCAGAATGATTTGTGTAGCCAGGTTTTCCAACTTTTAATGTTTTAAAATCTCCTCTGCATCTTACTAAGTCAGGACACTTCACCGATGCAGAAAACTTACTGAAATTGTTTCTGTGGAAGTTTCCTCATGTCTTGTGTCACATTCAGGCTTCCCCTGCTGAGATCCTTTGCTCTTGTCCAGTTGATCTCTCAGCTCTCCTCTGCACCAACCACTAGTCTGGGTCCCCAGAAGCACAGCTAACTCAGAGGTCTTTCTCTGCTCTCTCTGTCACTGAACGACCGAAATGAATCCAACCAGGTTTCTGAATGCACAGCTGACTTCAACCCTGCCTTGTAGAAAAGGAGTGAAGCAAGACGGCAATTTTGCAGTAGTTTCCTTCTGAAGGCTCCTGGGACTAGTTCCCTGGAGTCCTGCACAGCTCAGAAGGAAAAGCCCAGATGTAAACAGTCCGAGCTGTACAGATGTTAGCAGAACAGCACAGCTGTGCTCTGCTTTAATCTCCCTCACAACACAAGTAATGGCATCTCCGAGAAGGCCCTGAGCTTCTCTGTCTTGCTCAGTTGTCCCTGTTAGCCAGACTTGGCGCCTTAGGATGCAGGGAGGCAACAGATTGCAATTGGGTTAGTTGCTATGCAGTTTTGCATGAGAACATAACCTGAGAATAAAAGTCAGGTTGTAAGGTGCAAAAAACAAATAATTCCCCATTGCAAGGTGTCATGTTGACAAAATATTAGCTCAGTAATCATTAATAGGGTTCTGGTTCTGAATCTACTGTCATGAGAGCCCAGAGGACAGCCACGCGCATGATCAGAGGGCTGGAAAACAGACTTTAGGATGACAGGCTGAGAGCCATGGGACTCTTTAGCCTGGAAAAGTGCAGGCTCAGGGGTGATCTGATGGCCAAGTTTATCAGGGGTGACCACCAGTATCTGGGGGAACGATTGTTCACCACAGCGCCCCAAGGGATGGCAAGGGCAACCGGTTATAAACTACTGCAAGACCGTTTCAGGCTGGACATAAGGAAGAATTTCTTTACTGTCCGAACCCCCAAGGCCTGGAATAGCCTGGCATCGGAGGTGGTTCAAGCACCTACATTGAACACCTTCAAGAGAAATTTGGATGCTTATCTTACTGGGATCTTTGACCCCAACTGACTTCCTGCCTCTCGGGCCGGGGGCTGGACTTGATGATCTTCCGAGACCCCTTCCTGCCTGAATGTCTATGAATCTATGAAATATGACAGCCCCTCAGATCACTTTCCCCTGACTCGTATACACACAGGGTCCCAGCTCCCCTTAAAACCAGGGATCTCATAAACAGATGGCCCCCTCGCCAGATCAAGCCCACGGGGTGGCCTGGTGGAGACACTGCATGCAGCTTGCGTTCTGGATCGGCTACATGTGCAGCTTGCAGCATTTGTACAGCTCTATCCCTGCACGCCGCATGCAACACAAACCGGTCCAAGCATCATGCACATAAGATGCTTGGGGCCAGCCTGGAAGCCATGCTACGGACAGGATGCAGTGCCAGTCTGGGGTTCACTGGGCGCATCTATATAATATGCTGCATCACCGTAGTGATGAGCTACGATGATGTAGATTATCGCTGTGAGAACGTAGTGTTGGCAGGCACTAGCCGTGTCACCACCACTCCTACCTAGATGTCTGCACAGTAACAACTGCCCAGTGGGGTGCACATGGAGATGCGCCCATTGACTGTGCACACTGCATCCTGCATGCACGGTGGGTCAACGAGCCCAATCCAGACAAACCCTCATTCCAGTACGCAGGGCTGATCTGGTACACGTGCCGCATGTAGCGCGCATCCCAGCCAAGCCCTAAGCCGTGTACAGCCCATGCCAGGCAGGCAAGCTGCACAAGGAGCATCAAGGGATCAGAGACCGTTCATGGACCTGATTTCTCTTGATCCGAACCTGCCAGATGCCAGAGCCTGATGTGACCATATGTGTCTCTGTGCTTCAGCCTCCATGCTGCGTTACTGTATTGGCAGCTCCCACTTGGGACAGGCGTTGGTTGGAGTCCAGCAGCTAGAAGTTTTATAGTGTTTGAAATGCGCTCTCTTCATGGATGTTCCCATGGCCAAAAACAATGATCCCATCATGGGAGAAATTTAAAAATATCAACCTTTCCCTGTCCCCAAATTGGGATATTTTAATTTTTTTTCTAATGAACCAAACAGTCCCAAAATTTTTCATTTTGACCTTATCAGTTTTGTCTGGACTTCATCACAGCAGTTGGCAACCTAGAGCCCATGACCCCATTGTATCCACCCTGTGGAAGAAGTTCTTTGCCCGCTTTTGGTAACAGAGGCCTTCTCTGACCCTGCGCGGTGCTGTACTGCAGCAGGGCAGCAAAAAGAAGCAGCACTGGGGAAAAGTGGTAGTAGTCACCTGGTTTTGGTATCAGCCTAGTTTTCCCCTGAGCTGGGTCAGTCTGGCCTAAAAGTGGAAAATGTTGGTGATCTCCCGCCTTATCATATTGATGTGTCCATTACATAGAGTTACACAGACATCCCATGAGCCCTCCTTGCAACCCTCAAGAGAAAAGTGGTTTTGTCTTCCCAATGTGGAACCAGCACTTTCTGATGGCATCTCTGATTGGGAATCTCCTTGATATCACAGGTATCATTCTTGACCACCGTCTCCACAGCCCCATGCACTTCTTCCTGATGAATCTTTCTATCCCGGACCTTGCAACGATCTCTGTCACCACCTAGAAATCCTTAGCCTATTCTCTGCTGAACACCAGGTCCTTGCTCTGTGCTGGATGTGTCGTCCAAGTCCTTTTCTTCTTCTTCTTCCTCGCACCTGACTTCCCTTTCCTCGCCATCTTGGCATAGGATCGGTGCACTGTCATCTGCACAACACTGCACTATGAGACAATCATGAACTGGAAAGCTTGCATCTAAATGGAAACCAGTGCATGGATTTGTGGTTTTCTATTTTGTGCCCTGCACACTGGTAACATCTTTAGTGTATCTTTCCTCCAAGCTAATATCATCAACCGGTTCTTCTGTGAAATCCCTCAGCTAATCAAGCTCGCTTGCTCTGACTTGTACCTCACACAGCTGG